TTGAAAACTCTATACCCTTTTTCACACCTACCATATCCAACAAACATTCTCACCAATTTCCTCTTTGATGTGAAGGCATATGAATGTAACATAGAGAACCAAATATCCTTAAATGTTTGACACCTAGCTTTCTTCCACTAAAGGTCTCAAATTGAGTTATATTGTCCAAGGCACTTGTTGGACATCGATTTTGTAGGAACATAGCTGTGTTTACAGCTTCAGCCCAGAACTTCAAATTAACTTTCTTTTCTTACATCATGGTTTTAGCCATTTCAACCAAGTTCTATTCTTTCTCTCTGCAACACTATTTTGTTGTGGAGAGTAGGCAACATTAACTGCATTTCTAGCCTTATATCTTCACAAAACTTAGAAAACTCTAGAGATGTATATTCTCCACCCCTGTCACTTCTAATGTCAAGCCCCGAGCCCAACATACGTTCAAGATCGACACGTGACGTCACCAAATACCAGTATCTCCAACATACCTCACCTCCGGGATATGTACCAAGCACAACTCATGCCTCGATTTACGTAGCGATTTTTCATATACTTCATGGTTGCATCAACCTCTCGTTAGACTGCCTACGTACCCTAAATAGGGATCAAGCCAATCATAGTTCATCATTACAACACTCTGACATTTATCACAGTATGATCAAATCGAAAAGCATAGTATTCCTCAATCAATTATTAGAACTTAACAAGCATGAATTTACTAGGTTCATGGCTACATAACAAACCTACGTGACATTCAAGGTTTCCACTTCATCAATCACATAAATCATTATGTTTCAACGTAATACCACAATACATAGCATGCAACATCTCAAAGAGCAATCAACGAAGCACAATATTATTCTCTCGCCACATTGGTCAACTGAAATAATCATAATAATAACAATCATATCCAACGTCATTCCACAATCATGTCAATTAATCAATTCATGAATCAAAGATGCATGATCTAAGCATTTAACTACGTTAATAAATCAATGCGATACTTTATCATTTCATGAATTTAATTAAGAAACTCTATATAATTCTCCACTTGGATTATGAACAATAAACATGGTAAATCTAATTTATATTCACAAGGTCTATTGTGGGTAATTTTCACTCACTCGAATCTAGGGTTCTAAACTAACCTTATGGAAATGAGCAAGAGCAAGGATTACGAACCTCTCAACGGAATCCAATAACATCGGGTTCTAGACCATTCAACGAAACCAAAATATCGAGTGGTTTCTCGTAATCTACCCAAACCTGTCACATGTATAATCAGTGCCTACATCATGGGAATGGTGCACTGGGCAACTAGAACTCTGATAAGCTGCGAAATTCAGGTGAGTGACAATAATACAAATATGTGATAATCAATAAAAAGAAAGACCATCGACCACAATTTATAAACCTCAAATATAAGTTCATAATTATGAAAACATAGTCAAGTCTCTAAAAACTCTGAATGAGTCACCCAGACATCCAATGGCTTTTCCAATTCAAACAACAAAGATTCTCAAAAACTATCGTTCATAAATACACTAAAATCTAGGACTAGAGAGACGCAGTTCGGCCGAAGCCTACCAAACAGGAAGTGGCCCCCCATAGCGGATTAACCATGCAGAGCCACCCCTGAGTAACCATGTAGGTAGTGACCCTCCATTGAGGATTAACCAAGCAGAGTCACTCCTACAAATCTAGTAGGCAGTGATCACCCATCACAGATTAACCAAGCATGATCACCCCTAAGTATGTATGGCTATAAGGATCACCCATCGCGTATTAACCAAGCACGATCCATAGAAAATATGGTCCCCTATCGCGGATTAACCAAGCAGGACCATGGTCCCCTATCGCTGATTAACCAAGCAGGACCAAGATAACCAAGTAGGTAGTGACCCCCCCATCGCAGATTAACCAAGTAGAGTTACACCTACGAATATGTTAGGCAATGATCACCCATCGTGGATTAACCAAGCATGATCACTCCTAAGTATACATGGCCATAAGGATTGCCCATTGCGGATTAACCAAGCGCGATCCATAAATAGTATGGTCCCATATCGTGAATTAACCAAGCAGGACCATCCATGTACCATTGCTACATGGTGCAGACTTGGTGTCACCTAACCCCGTGATACTAGGGTAACGGTCCCCTACTAGCCCTTAGTTTAACAAACATTTCAATATGCACTTCAAATCACTTTTGCACAAATATTTCCAATCCATGAATCAAATCACATTTAATAAAAATAGATCAATGACCAATTATAAAAATCACATTTTAATAGAAAACATATTTATAAAATCAAGTCACATCCACAAAGGATACTAATATAAGAAAACAGGGTAATAACCATATCACATATATTAAAGTCACTCACCGAGATAAGTCCGCAAAGCCTCACTGAGTCTTTAGTAAAACTAATTTTAGTAATTGAAATGGTTCAAGACATGTTGAGCAAAAGTCAACTCTCAGTCAACGTTGGGTCCACACCCTAATAATTTAATCTGGAAGATCCACACATTGTATTTCGGACCCGTAACTTCCTAAGGTCCACATTATGCTCATAGAACAACATACTAAAGTCTCATCACGATCCGACGGTCGGATCTCAGCCAATCTCAAATTTAAATTACGGTTAACAACGATCCGTCAGTTCTTACTATCCTCAAATATTATGTACTATTACTTATTTAAGTTTTATGCTAATCCAACGATCTGATCGTCAATTCATATAATAACCCCGTGGCGGCCAACTAGGCGGTCAACTACGAAACTTTATTAAAACATTGAAATTCCACTAAACGAATGTCAAACATGGAATTAGGGCATCAAAATTAGCCTAGGATGGTCAGGTAGGGTCTCGGCCCACGCACCGCCACACTTAGCGACCAGTTGCCCCGATTCGCCGGAAAATCTAACTAATTCCAAAAATAACCAAAATTCACATAATTGTAGATCCCAATGAGTATAGCAAGTTTTATACCTGTGACCAAGGCCAATTTCACCGAGAAAAGCCTCAATTCGCCACGAACATGTGGAAACCCTAGAAAGGGTGTTCTTGATTCGACGCCAAAACAAACTACGACGCCCCAACCAATGCTTTGGTTTTTTTCCTGAGGTTGGGGGAAGTCTTATGGTGGTGGTAGTTGATGGTAATCATTATCGGATTCACCGAAAAATGGGGAAACTTGTCGGACAACTTGGAAATTTGTGGCTTTGATTTGTAAAATTGGGTGTGAAATTTAAAAATCTAACATCACAGAGACGTTGGGCTTGCCGAAAGCTTTCCATAGACCCAGGTCAAGGAACGGGGTCTGGTGGAGAAACCAGGTTGGCCGATTCTCTCCTTCTCCCTTCCCTCATTTCCTTCCTTGCTTTCCTCTCCTTTCTCTTCTTTTCTTTTCATCTCAGCCGTCCACGTGTCATCACAGATAATGGCTCCAACAATTTGGAACCTTCTAGATGAAGCCAAAATTACAAAGATAACCCTAACTTTAAACGTTAATAACTCTTTCGTTATAACTCTGTTTCACGAACGGTTTTCACCTACGCGTTTGTGAGATTGTGCTCTATTCAAAAATATAAATTACGACCTTGAAAGGTCTCCGGATTTTAAATAAATAATTTCCAAACTTCAAACTTCATAACTAGTTTAATTAAAATCTAAATTCAAATAAATTGATATAAATTCTCGAAAAATAATACCAAATCTCAATAATACAAATACGTAAATCATAACAATGAAATCTAGGAATGGGATTTCACATCTAAGCATCTTGATTTGAAAGCCACTTTGCAGCTCAACCATGGACTTAAATTTTTTGAAAATGCAGAACATTTGTGACTTATGTTGTAAGAAAAATACCCAACACATTCTAGTATGATCATCAATAAATGTGAGAAAAAATTTGTTGCCCCCAAAAGTGGTGACTTGTGTTGGACCACAAATATCATAATAAACAAGCTATGAGGCTTGTGATGCTTTCCAAGTCTTATCCTTGTCAAATGGTTCCATGTAACCCTTCCCTATAGCACATCTAGAGCAAACATGCTCAGAGAGTTGTAGTCTAGGCAAACCCAGCACCATTTCTTTGCTTTGTTGGAGCATCAAACTAATGTAGTCTATATGTCCAAATCTCCTATGCCACATCCAAGATGACTCTTCAACTGTTGCTTTATATTGCTATAGTGTGATTGATATATTCAAGAGCTAAGGGAAAACATCTATTTCCCTTCATTGGAACAATTGCAAGCAAATCTTCCATCTATCTATCTCCATAAATATCAACCATGAAATTATCAAATACAAGCCAATATCCATGTTCTATCATCTACCCTACACTCAATAGGTTCTCATCTAATCCGAGTACTATCATAACTTCTTTGATATACCTAGTTTCACCCTTCATTTCTATAACTAGAGTACCCTTGCCAGTTGATTGTACTAAGTCTCCAATACCCATTTTAACTCTACACCTCATTGTTTTATCAACATCAACAAACAAAGACTCATAGGAGGTTATATGGTTACTACATGCACTATCAACATATACTATATGTTCATATATGTTCCAACAGTAGCAGAATAGCAGGCATAAAACATTGTTGCAGTCTCAGTTACTTGATTGGCAAAGTTTGCTAGTTGTCCAGTCCTATTAGGCTGATCATAGTCCTTGATAAGATGCCCAAATCGATTGCATCCATCTCACTTAGGCTTCCTTTTAAACCAGCACTCACCATAGTGAAGCTTGTCATAAAGTTTGCACTTTCCATTTGGACTGATCTAATTTGCCTCCTTGATCATTTTTGACACCTTGGTTCACAACATATTAAGGTTTTGGATCTCATTTCTTGCCTTTTGATTTCCAATTCTTCTTTGGTTTAGGGTTACCAAAGGAAGAACTAGACTAAGATCCCTTTGGATTCATATTCATACTAGCAAACGCTCTCTCAGTAGCACCCTCAACATGTTTATCAAGACATTCAAATCATCTCAAAGCAGCAACAACTTCTTGCACTTCAATGATTTCAATATCCTTAGTTTGTTCAATTACATAATAAACAAGATCATGGGCTTTTGTTAGACCTATGACCAATTTCTAAACCAATCGCTCTCTGGGTAATTTCTCACCAAAATTTTTCATCTGATTCACCAACTTACTGAAATTCATGCAACGACAAACCAGCCTTTTGATACTACGAAGGACGTTCAAGTTCCATCCCGAATCCATCCGCAATGGGAGAGAAGCCAACCCACACGCAGTGTTCCTCAATCTTCGAACACAACTATCTACGTCCTCGCACATCAGCCATTCGGCTGTAAACTGGCTAGTTTTGAGAAAAGCCCATTATCCATTAGCCCATCTTGAAAATATTATAATCGCATGTCAAGATTTTATCACGTGACCGTACTCCAGTATCATGCAATAACTTTTTCGAAATCGTAAACACCTCAAAATGGAGTTGTGAATTTCTGCCAACAAATATTGCAAACTACAGAAGTGTATAGCATTTATGTACAAGTATATATACAACATTGATCCAGAACCAACAAATCAATCAGAACACAAAAAACTTTGAGTCACTACATGATTCTAACACAAAACCAAAAGCTATGTTCTCAGCAAAACTAAGAGCAAAGTAGCCTACCTAGCTAGCGCATAAATTCCGCCTTCCCAAGCTCTACCGGAAGGAGGAGAAAAATTTAGACATTCCACGCTGTTGTTGTGTTCCTGCGGCACTTTGCAAAATTTCCATGATCACTAATCAGAAAAAGGGAAGAAAAATGCTCAGACTTCTCTGAAGCTAAAATAAATTAAAGAATATATATATATATAAATATCTCTAAAGAAATCTTGATCGAGAAAATGTTATGGAGGCGAATCTTAAGAAAAAAATCAGCAACAGGTCAACAAAATTGTCTTTATTTTCCCTTTCCCATAGCCCCTTCTCGCTGATTCCTGAAGTGACTGAGAAGCTGCTGTGCCTGCAGAATATGTGTAAAGCACAATATTATCTTCTTTGTCCCACAACTCTATATTCTGACAAACTCACGCAATGCTTGGCATAGCTTCGGTTTTATGCTGACTCGACAGGGATAAACACTGAGTGAACGCCCTGGCAGTGTTCTAGGTTGTCCTAAAGAAACCATACATGGCATTTTATGTGCACATGAGATGTTTTCTAACAAACTTTCGACAATATAGATTGATCTCCCCGGTAATGGTAAATTATTGGGTTATAGCTGCATTAGGGCAATAAGTAATAACAGTTGCCAAATGACGGCAGGAAGAGAACTGTTTCACCAAACAGAAGGAAATCATCAGTATTGAACAATCAATTTTTTTTCCCATTTTTTTGAAATATTTCTGTTCCCTTGCCTCCGCCATTATTTGGCACACTAACCGGTAAGCAGATCAACAGAGAGCTAAATAAATAGGCAAGAAAAATGTTTAAGCTGCATACCTTTTCCTTTGCTCTTGGTGTGCCAGACTGAGATAAGGCAACCAGGGGAGGAACAGCTCCTTCCTGAAGAACAAGGGTGCAAAACTTTGGACTATGAAGGCACAACTGCAACAATATGGAGGCAGCATTCTCCTTTCCTCTATGGGAACCTGATTCAACAATCTCAACTAGTAACGGAATGCCCCCTTCCCGTGTAATTGCTATGCGGCCCTCTGCAATGGTGGACAAATTTGCCAGGAGAGCAACGGCCTTGTCAACCATCCCAGAATCAGGGTCCATCAAATCAATAAGATGCTTCACAGCCCCAGCTTGAACTAGGCGAGCTTTATTTTCATGAAAAATTGACAGATTAAACAATGCAGTACTAGCATCTTTCTTCCCCCGAAGAGTCCCTGAGGCTAGAAGATCAACCAAGGCCTTAACTGCACCAGACCGACCAATTTTTGCCTTGTATTCGTCCAATACAGAGAGGCTGAACAAAGTTGCAGCAGAATTTTCTTTCGCTCTGTCACTTCCTGTTTTTAGAACATGGATTAGGGGATCAATTGCCCCTGCTTCTGCAATCATCGCTTTGTTGTCTTCATTAATTGATAAATTCAAAAGAGCTGTCACAGCATGCTCTTGTGTTGTCAACTCTCCTGAATATAGAAGTGAAACTAATGGTGTGATAGCACCACACTGGCCTATAATAGTTCGATTCTCCATATTGTGCTTTCCAAGAAGCCGCAACTCTTCTGCTGCCATAGTTTGCACTTCATTTGACTGGCTCTTGAGGTCTTCAATTAAATTCCTGACATGGGATGCTGTTGTCAACTCATCAGATCCTGAACTATAAAATGGAAGCAGCTGTCTATCAGGATAACTGGGGCTATCAGTCCATGCCCCTTCTGCTTTTGTCTTGGAAATGTGAGATAATTTTCCTGATAACCCGGGGGGAATTGCTGATTGTTTCTTTGGAGTAGAAGCAACCGGATGCTCAGATGTGATTTCTCCAGACAACCTACGAACATTTTCATGCTTATTAGATATCCCTGACACCTTAATCGATGCTGGAGGTGCATAATCAATACTGGAAACAGCACTAGTGGCTGATTCACCCCTGCTATGACTATATGACTGTTTTGGTGATGAGTTGCCTTTCTTGTTACTATCGCATCCATTGGACATTTCTCCACCTAATCTAGGAGAGACATCTGTCTTTTGCTTCTCAAAGATGTTTCCAACTTCAAGAGATGACCTCGATGTCGAATTGCTACTGTGTGTAGTGCAATGCAAACCACCTGTGTGAGTTGAATCTGCAGGAGATACTTGATCTGATGGAGATGGGACCGAGATAGCATTAGAGCCGTCAGAGTTCACCGTAAATTTTATATCATTTTCCTGACACCAGCTTTCTATCATAGCTTTGACAGTATAATTGGGAATGAGATTAGTATGGTACAGCCTCTGTCGGGTCTTTGGGCAAATAGTTAGCCCATGATCAATCCATTTTTGGATGGAATCTCTCTCATAGGTTTGACCTGAAGCTACAATCACAGGGTCCAGCATGAGTTCTGAAGACAGAGGGCAGCGGAAGTATGAAGGGATCAAGACGCCAGATACGGTTTCAAGGTGCTCAATTTTGACCATGAATTCACGAATATGGGAGACAAGAACCACAATTTGGTTAATTTGATCTAATTTCCCTCTAACATCACCGACTTCAACATTCATTCTTTCCTTTTCTACAGCAATGCTTTCTTTCAGCAGTTCTTGGTTTGAAGTCAGATTAAGCAATTCGATAATTTTCATAAGAAGTTTGGTGGAAGGCATGACATCTTTACTTTGACTTCTCACAGCCTCTTCTAAGTATTCTGTTACTCTTTCCAGCTTCAAAGATTGAATTTCCTGTGTACAGTGCTGAAACAATTTATACAGATTAGAGATGCATCTGTCTTGACTTCCGATGAATCGAACAACATAAATATAAATAACGAGTAGGATGAGGAATATAAAGTTTCAAAGAAATAGGTTAATATTAAACAATTATAAGAATGAATATTAGAAAGTTTGTTAAATCAACCTCGTTTTCTTTTTCCTTTTTTCCTTTTTTCTTTGTAAGAAAATGATACATACAGAAGGCAGTTTGAACTTAGCAAATACCTGAAGACCCGTTAAACTTGACCCTGATGAAGATGACTGTGACAGTCTACGTAATATGCTGCAAATCTTGAGTGAAGAGTTTTGGATAGTTATCAACAGCGGCTCACACCGCCAAGCCTGAGGATAAATTGTTCGAACTATGATCAAAATATGTGAACAAAACCGCACCCCTTAACACATGCACGGACACACACCAGATAGTATGTCAAATTTGAGGTATTTAATGCACAATTATTCGTTCAATTTCCGTGTATTCAAAGGGAAATGCAGAAGCATCATAACATACTGTGATTGCAATTATTGTTGTAAGGTTTCTATGTCTTGCACCACGAGTTTCCTTGACTGTATGTCTTTTCAAATTAAATAAATCAACAGAGATTCCCTAATGAGAATCCTCAAGCATGGCCTAGAAACAAGGACGTGAATTTAGCACAAGAATAGATTTGCACTTACACTTGAAATTTTGCTCGACTTTGGAGACCAGTTTTCGATGAATTCCCTAGCTCCATTGACAGCCATATCTAATTCTTCACACTCTTTATATAGAATGTCATCTGACGGTACTTTAAAGTCGACTACTTCATCAATCAATGGCTTCAAAAGCTTCAGTACATCAACTATGGTTCTGTAATCCTTCTGAATAGGAATATGTTTCAATGTTTGGCTTGAAACTAGATGAACGAATCGAGATATACTGTTTATCAGACATTTCATAGATGATGTGTCCATATCACCTGTTTGAGAAAAGAAACCACAAATAAATACTACAAACAACAGAGAATTATTATCGAAAACATTGCTAATGTGTTCTGCGAAACTAGTTTAGATTTCTGGTTCTGAAACTCCTACAGAACCTATTGCTTTAAAGGCTGTATACCAATTGGTCCTCTTTGTCTACGTAACTTAAAAGAACGGTCCTTGGATTATGCAGCAACCATCAAATATGTGTTGCAACGATTCTCTTAACAATGTGTATAGAATTCTAGATTCTAAAACATTGAATAACTATTGCAAATATCAGAATCTTTACACTCATTGTCTGCCTCTTGCTGTTTCAAAAAACCAAATTTTCGGGCTATAACCATTTCGATTCAAGCTACTAAATCAATTTTATTACACACTCTGCAAACACAAAACACTCAAAGGGGGAAAACATTATTGAAATCTTAACTCTTTATCCTTTTTTCACAAATTGTTTCCGAAAACCAACACAAAATGAGATTCAAAAACTAATTCTCCTCCCCTCAGCTCAACTTCCTTGGTCTTTTTAGAAACAACAACCAGAGGCGGGTGAATTCACTAAACCAAAAACGTTTCATTTCCTCCAACCCCAAAATAACAATACCTTAATTTCTCCTAAAACAATGCTGATCAAACATGTTTACAGATTATCAAACTCGCAATGTACACAAACCCAGAAAAATTGACAGAAAACCCACAAGAATAAACACAGCTAAATCCAAACTAAACAAACAACACCATACCATTACCTCCCCCACCCATTAACATAAGACAAACCTCACCAGACATTTTACTGGGAAAATAAAAATAAAAACAACAACATTGGATAAAACGAAAATTGTTACCTTTGAATCAAACTGTACCCCTATTCATGCAGTTAGAGGCTTAGAGCTGGTGGGTTAAGGCATAAAAAACAGATCTTGATGAACCCAAAGCCAAAGGTGGAAACTTTGACATGAAACTTCAATTGGGTTTTTTATTCAAGAATCAATCTAACCCTCATGCACTGCTTTCGTTACAAAGCTGCATGAGAGAGAAGGAGTGTGTGTGTGTGTGTGTGTGTGTGTGTGTGTGTGTGTGTTGGGAATGAATAAATTTAGAGGAAATTAAATTAAAAAGTAAATTAAAAGAAAGAAAGAAACAAAATTGGTGGGGTCTATTTGGTTGCAGATTTGTTGGGCGAGGAGGTGAAGATTAATTAAGAGGTTATGAAGAAGGTAAAATGTAAAGGAGGAGACTTTCTCACCTTGGGGATCTAATCATGATTAGAGAGAAAATTTGTAAGGGAATTCATGCCGTTTTTAATTAAAGTATTAGAGGATGCATTAGAACAATGATATCCAGGAAAAGATTCCACTGAGGAAGTACCATTGTTTGCCTAATTTCCTTTTGAGAAATGTGAAGAGATTTTCTCAAAATAAGATTCTTTATAGATTCTTTATTACTTCATAATTTAACGTTAATTCTCGTATTAATTTTATAAAATATTGTATTAAATACATAAGATAACTGATAATCCATTAAGATTCTCTTATCCTTAGCACTTCTCTTGTTTTCTTAAATTACTAATGTGCCATTCACATCTTACAATTTTATTACGTGTGCATAATTTTTTTGTACTTTCCAACATTAAATTAATAATATACTCACTAATGTTATATTTTAATATTTTTTATAGAACATGTTACTTTTATTTTTTTATTTTTTTTAAATGATAACATTAGTGAGTTAAATTGTTAATTGTAAGAAAAAGGAGAATTAGTGGGAATTGAACCCACATCATGGTGCATAGGCATGATTCCTTTCTTTAGTGCATAGGCATGATTCCTTTCTTTAAGGCATCATCTGCAATATTTATTTATTTGGAATGGAAGAAGTCGTGAATAAAAGGGAGAAAATAAGAACAATATCAACTAATCCTTTTAATCAATTTACTTTCTGCCTTTTAAGTGGTGGGTTGTTCAAGTAGTTAAGACCTTCCTCTTCAACTTAATACATTCCGAGTTTAAATTCATGTATTAGTAAATAACGCAAATGTCACTTTATAGTATGTCAGTCACCTATTATATTGTTGTATGTATTCATAGAAAAAAAAAATCAGGAATCAGAATAATTTTAATACGCATATTAGTAAACAACGCAAATATCAATTTATTATATAAAGGGAGACAATTTGAAGTTTGGAAGATATGTAATGCTTTTATATAAGCTACACAATCTTAAATAAAGGGGTGACAATAAATTATTCAAGATTCAAAGGAGGTTGTAGAATTGGGATAAAGTTGGGTGACCAAATATCTAACAACTATCAACACTTCTTTAAATATAGGCGATGGGGGAGTATTACGAGATAAGAGTGATGATTGGTTGGATGGGTTTTCGGTCAATTTAAGCGAAGAGTAGGTGGTTGATGCTGAAATTTGGGAGCTTTATCTTGGCCTACAGCTTGCAGTAAACAAAAGTGTTTTAAGCCTTGTGTAGAGATAGACTCGGCTATAGTGGTTAATTTAGTTAACATTATAACTAATACCAGCTTTCATCTTACTGTCAACATTATTGATCATTGCAGATAATTTATAGTATGCATAGTGAATTTCAAGTTCGTTCATGTTTACTGGGAGAAGAACGTTGTGGCGGACGACTTAGCCAACTGGAGATTTAATATGAATCTTGGGTACCACTATTATGAGAATCCACCTGAATAGATTATAACTCATTTATTTGATAACATAATTGGAGTCTCTGGGATTCGAACAGTTTGTAATAATTTATTGAGTTAGCTTTGGAGTGATCTACCCCATTATGTAACAAAAAGAAAATTATAACTTAATTTATAGATGTCACCTACTCCAATTAATCGCATGTTATGATCTATTAAACTATAATTAAGGATATATAAAATATGATTTAGAATTTCAGCTGTTATGCCACTTCACTTGCCTCCTAGCTAGAAAGCAGAGAATAAGTGAGATTCATACCTGCCCAACCGAAATAAATCTAATCTGTTTTGTTTTTTTACCCCCAATTTTAACCATAAGATGATTAGTTTTAAGACAAAAATTAGTAACTTATTTAATGAATGATTACAACCTATATGCTATTTGTAAAATATATATATAAAGAACATGGATAATTTCCCTGAGAAAATTAGTTGATTTCAGCTTTGCTAATTAAAAGCATGGGATTTTCTATAAGATTCATGTCAAACGATACCAAACAAGAAGTTGTGATGGGGCATCTCCTTGTATTTTCATACATGGTAAATATTACCTTGGAAAATCACTTCCTAAACTAATGAAATGTTATTTGTAGGGCTAAAACTTACTTCTAACCAGGTGTATATGTCTACATGCCTGTCGGTTGAGGGTAGAGAAAGGAAGTTGTATGAATGTATGTAACTCGTTCCAAGAAAGTTTGGCTGTCGGTACATTAATCGCAATTGAATAAAGGTTAGGTGAATGTTAGATTGTACCCCGTGATGAACAGAGTACATATGTGCATGTGCATGTGGCTTTGCTCAGTGCCTAGATTGCATTATTATTGTACAACATTTTGGTCATCTTTAACTTTGGAGCGAGATTTGACAGTGAGCCCATACCAATGACTACAAGCTGTCAATCTTTCATCTCTTTAAAAGTTCTAACTACCAACTTAGGGTTTTTGGAGAAAATTTTGAGTAGAATTGTCTAATTTGTAACTGCTCTTATTATAAGTGACACGATTGACGTGAACTCGAATGAAATTAAAATATTAAAAAGGTTCAAATTTTATAAGACATGCTCTATGAATAACGAGATCAGACAATATTACTTAAATTTTTCTTGGAATCAAAATGTTTCCTTTTTAAAAATTAATTGTTCTCCAAGTTAAGGAGCATATCTATCACATCCCGGTTTGGGCCCTCATCACGTTCTGGGCTCGACTCCACTGTAGCACGATATTGTCCGCTTTGAGTCCCAACCACGCCCTCACGGTTTTGTTTATGGGAACTCACATGAGAACTTTCCAGTAGGTCACCCATCATGGGAGTGCTCTCACGTGCTACTTACTTAACTTCAGAGTTCCGATGAACTCCGAAGCCAGTGAGCTCCCAAAAGGCCTCGTGCTAGGTAGAGATGAGAATATACATATAAGGCTTACAAGATCCACACCCCCAGGCGATGTGGGATCTTACAATCCACCCCCCTTAGGAGCCCGACGTCCTCGTCGGCACACATCCAGCCAGGGATTGGCTCTGATACCAAATTATCACATCCCCCCTTGGCCCCCATCACATCACAGGCTCGACTCCACCGTAGCACGATATTGTCCGCTTTGGGCCCCGACCACGCCCTCACGGTTTTGTTTTTGAGAACTCACACGAGAACTTCCCAGTGGGTCACCCATCATGGGAGTGCTCTCATGCGCTACTCGCTTAACTTCGAGTTCCGATGAACTCTGAAGCCAGTGAGCTCCCAAAAAGCCTTGTGCTAGGTAGAGATGAGAATATACATATAAGGCTTACATGATCCACACCCCCTGGACGATGTGGGATCTTACAATATCAAAACAATTGTCCTTTCTTCATGATCTTACATGAGCTGGCTAACCAAACCTAAAACCCCAAAATTAGTTGGAGCCCAATTTTTTTGTTGTCCTTTTAAATAATATCTTCACCCTCTTACAAATTTCATCTTCAGAATCCAACCATGATATGGTGTGATATTAGGAAACATAACCATCTTCTTAATAAAAACAAAGGATTTGCATCCACATCTCTAAATAGTTGGCATCTTCACACCCTAATTTGTCTCCAATTCCATCCTATATATATACTTGTATATTTGATATAGATTGATGGTAGTATATATAGATAAAGACATTGTATATTTATGTTAGGGAATATAATCTTGCGTCGAAAACTTCACTAGATAAATGATATTTATATTAAATGATTTCATTTCTAATTTTACGAAGATCATTTGTGATAAAAACTCAACATTTTCCGAACTATATAGGTGGTCAAGTATAACAATATTAATATAATTAGTAGTGAGTTACGGGCTTGACTTTGAAATTTTGTAATACACGCACACACATGGTAGGGTTTTATAAATTGGAAAAGCAAACAAAACCTTTCTTTTTGTCCTTAATTTGTATAGCAGTCACCATTTGTGAGCTTAAATCCAATAAGCCAGTTGGACCAATCCATATCAGACCATACATCTTTGGTTTAAGTGTAACTTTCCCTTCCCTTCCGTTCTCATTCAAGAAATAATGCTTCTCTATCTTTCAATTCCCCTTCCATTATTTTGTTTTCCGCTAGCTTAATTATTATTTTACTGCTAAGCAAGTCACTTTATTCCATGAAAAGTTTATCAATATTCTCGTTAAATTGTTATGTGATCACTTTTTTAAGGATATTTTTGTCTAACCAACCCCTTTACTTAACGATGATATTGACAGATTTTTCATAAAATGATTAAAATGATTTACGATGGATAAACTTAGACACCAATTCTATCTATTTTCATTATCTTATATCAATCTTATATACTATCTTAACTAAAAAAAATCATATTTTATTAGTTTGATAGACCATTACGGCGAAATTTAAAGTACAGACAAATCATTCACCAGCACGCGAGGCCCTATACTATCAAGTATAGAGTACCATTTCTATCATCGAACTGATATTTAAATTACAGAACTGCATTTTGCCGTACACGCTTTGTTGGCATGGTTCCACCTTCAAAGGACAGAATAATTAAAGATTTGGTTCCACATACGGGCATATGGGTAATTCAAGTCTGGATCTTTAGAGCTATGTTTGTGGGAAAGGAATCTCTCCGAATCCTTTCCCCTTAATCCTAAGGATCCATTAATTTGGACAATTAAAATTTGATTCAACGGCTACAAACAGAAGTTTATTTTAAAAGTTATAATAACTTTATCGATTAGATTAAATTTCAATTATCCGAATTGCTGGATTCCTAGGATTAGGATGGAAGGAATCTGAAGAGGATCCCCTTCCATGTTTGTAATCAATATTAGTCTAATCAAGCAATCGCATATTTATAGATATAAAAAATGTTAGAATCAATTGTGCACGTGAAAATGAGTTGATTCAGCAATTCATGTTGATAGAATTTACAAAACATTAACGACCATGATCAATTAACGTGTGCCAATATAAGTTAATTTCATCATTCATATACTTATGAGACTAACAAAAACTGCCAGAAACAACCGACGAGACTATCGTGGCCCTCCTGTTATGGACAAATGTTCAAGTGAGAGTTTTAGGGCAGTCAAAACAAGTTGAAGGAGACCTGTCTTTTATGAAGAGTAGTACTTGGGAGCCATGTGCATCTGCTTTCACATAGATGGAAGGTAGGGTCCCCTGATTTTAGAAGTGCTACTTCTCATGTGATGTTAGAATACACCAGTAAACAGTTGACCTTCCCCACCTTCATTGAACGAGGATCCTCTCCATATCATTTTTGTGAGGATCTTCAAATTGTGTTCGTTCATCATATATTGTACGACCAGAAATCATTTTAAATACTTTTATTTTAAATTAAATATGAGTAGTATCTGATAAGAACGGACGCAATTTGAGGATCCCTAGGATCCTCCTGGAGCTTCATTTTCCCTAAAACTCGGGTCAGGCCCGTCAGGGTGTCCAATCATGTCATATGTATGACACTTCTTATAAAAGCATGAAACTATATTTTGATTTTATCCGACCCACTATAATCCGTGCAATGTGAAAAATGTCCTAGTCCACGCCCTACCGAAGTTTCTCTCATATATTTGATATCTATTGCCATTTTCAAATCGTCAATTCCGGATTCTGACTGAGGAACTGTAAACCAAAACTTCTTTCCATTGCACAAACTTGCAGATGACTGTTAAAAATCACATACAAATTGCTACAATTGAATGTTGCTATTTCCTGGTTCATTTAACCATCCACTAATTGTAGCCTCCGAAGATCTGTTTGTACAAACTATCCCCCGCCAACTATAACGACTGTTCTTCTCAGCAGAGCTCCAACCATTTTGTTAATTGTTTCAGAGATCCGGGCAGCGTTAGGAAGTCGGTATATCCACAGCTTCTGCAGAAGTTTGGGTGGGGCACCGGGGAAGGCATAACCCGAAAGCACAGAAGAAAAGGCAAATACTTTCTTTCAGCAATTACGCAGACCAGTAAATCTCTAACATCTAAATGTGAATCATATGTGACATGATACTTGAAGCAATAATGCGTCCAAATAAAAATAGAACTAAAAACTATATGCAGTCTTTAACAAGGCACCTGAACCTGAAGGATTCCTCTGCATGCAATTGCACAATCACTGAAGTTGTCGCCGGCACTCCCTTGCAAGCTCATATTATTGGGGTTCTGATAAAACATATACAGAAACAGCTCAAATTTTGGCAACACCAATCAGTTTGGGGTTCATGTGTTTCGTGGATTCTTCCCCTTTCACTGAAGCCACTGTGTGAAAAATACAACCCAGGTCGCAACTTTCTCCCCAAAAACGAACTCTATATCGCAATCACAGTTACAATCTAATTATCAACCAGAAAGAAACTTAGTTTTGGAATTGAAAGATTCCAATGACTAAACAGTGGCAAGAGTGTACTAAGCTACTACGAGTTGGGATATGAGGTTGAAGTTCTGGGTTTTGCACGTAATTAACAAAACACAATATCCATCAAATTACAAAAGTCTAAGCTAGGATGTTCAAGATAATAAGAAAAAGATATACAAAGAAGAATAACTTAGAAGGAGCTGTTTTAGTATTTACCAGTTGATTACCTCGAGGCTAGCAACTTCACCGCAAAGACCTTTTAATGGCTTCCACATTTGCTGGAGCTTTGACAATCTCATAGAGTAACTCCGGTTTGGAACATTGTTAGTTAACGAATCAAGATTTGGATCATCAACTTATGATTTCAAGAGATATCACCAATTTCAAGCCACAAGGAAAAAAGCACAAGAGCCAAGAAAATAGAAAATGTTTGAAGCTCAGATGGGGTTCTCAATCAATAGTGGCAAGATTGGATTCACATTACCAATATCCGAGACCAAATACGTTGGAATTAATCATTGCTGACTGATTGTATTTTCATTGATCATCACCATACAACACAAATACATAGATATCTAAATCCATGCTGCAAATACAAAGATGATGGTAACAGAATGCTCTCTCACTCCACTCCAGTCATCATACATATGATTCTCCATATTATCAAATCATTTTATCACTCCATCAGCTCCTCACTATCAGGCCTCAACATTAATTTGGTCAAGAAGCAAGAGGGAAGAATAGGGGAGATAGCCGAAATGAATGGTCTCCCAGGACCCAAGCTAAGATGGGAAGGTAACAAGAGAAAAGCTATAGGTATAAGATACTACCTTTCATCCCTTCGCTCCTATATCGCCTCCCCAACAATATCATTCTAACCGACTAAATGGAGTTCTATAGTTCTTGTTAAAGCCCTGTCCGCAAAATGGATGTTAAAATACACTAAGCTATAGATTATGTCATTGCCATTCCATCTACATTACTAAAACACTGGAATTGAATACAAGGAAAACCGAGCGTAATTTCATGTGCTCACAACATTAACTCCGAACATCTTTGTTGTATCTAAGTTACACCAGTGCAAGAATTGTTCTTTAAGCATTGAGCATTCCTAATTCAAGTAAATAGCACACATTGTGCACAGATAGCCATAAAATTCAAGATCATTGCTTGCTAAAACTTCAATTGTACATAAATTTACAGCTCGAATATAAACCGCAATCATGCTACAACATCAGAAAAACACCAAAAATCGACAGTTGGGTCTTTCAAGATACACTTACACAGGCTCAAAATCCTCTCCTTTTACTACACCACTATTGCCCCCCGCCGCCGCCTTCCTCCTCCAATTTCTGCACATATGCCTTCAAAAGCATGACCAACTCCCTCGCCGGCGCCTGAATCGTCCCCACCAAGCTCGACGCCGGACTATTCAACGTCCCAAGCAACTTAGCGTAAATCTCCGCCCTCGTCGGCATTGTCTCGAGCTGCTTAAAGTCCCCAGGCCCGTAAAACTTCCCTTCGAAAACCGCCCCGGTGAAGTCGTTGCTGTCGAGCTTCTTCTCCTTCTGGAAATCCCTGTACGGCTTAATGGCCGGCGGGATTTCCTCGCTGTGGACGAACATCCAGGCGTTCATCCCCGTCATGCACGGCTTCAGCGCCTCCCACGGCGTCCCCTCGATTGCCTTGTAGACCAGGGTGTTCTTCGCCACAATGAGCTTGGTCGTTTCCGGCAGGACTTTCCGGAGGTCTTGGAATTGCTTGACGGTGAGGCCCTTGTAACGGATCCCGGCCATGAGGTGGCAGTTCTCGAGGTTTTCCTTGATGGTCTCGACGGTCTGTTCCTTTTTGGTGCGGGAGATGGCGGAGCGGATTGTGGGGAGGCGGTGGTGGTGGCGGGCGGGGCGGGGAGCGAGGGAGAGAAATGGGTTTGTGGCGGGTCGGGTTAGGAGGGAATTGTGTTGGGTTTGGGTTAGGGAGGGTGATGGGGGTTTGGAGGAATGGAAGCTGAAGAGAGTGGCTTCCATGGTTGTAGAAGAACAGAGAGTAGGGAGGGAGAGTGTGCTCTTGGGTTTGCCTTATCTTATCTCTGTGCAATTTTTGAGAAGGGGTAGGGTGGGAAATTTGCGTGAATACTGTGGAAATTTGGGAAAGTTCCCCTTAAGTTTTAGGTAATTTCACTTGAAACCCAGTTCCCAATTGGTATGAACTGGGAGTGGGATAAAAACCGGCAACCTGGAAAACTGAACCGAACCGTCAAAATATAAAATATAAAAGCTGCATTGATGAAAAAAATGAATCAGGTGAAAAAACGGAATCGGACCGGCTCAGATCGGTTCGGATTTTGAAACAGTTCACTTTAACCCCAATTCCCTGTTGGTGTGGAAAACTAGTTTCAAATTCCACCAACTTCTGAGATGGAAAATACTCAGATAAAAAAAAAAATTATAATTTGACGTATATGTAGAAACTTTGTTGTTGATTAATGAATTATTTTAGCATAGGCAGTCCCATATAATGAGGAATGAGTGATGTTAGAGAGGTCTTCTGCTTAAATCATATTTTGTAGATCACATGATGTGACATTTGATAGTTTGATTCTTTCTTTGATTTAAATAAGTAATTTAATTATCAACTGTCACATCTTATGGTTTACAAAATTTGATCAAAAATGTTTCTCTCTAGCATTTTTCAATGAGGAGTATATACTTACATTTGCACAATAGTGCTCTTTAGAGAAACTTAGTTTGTCCCAAAAAGCTTAAGAACTCGCTTGGAAGTGCTTTTAAAATGACTGAAAGTATTTTTGATAAAAATATTTTTGGAACCAATGAATTCTTAAGAAGCACTTGAAGTACTTCCTATAAGAAGTACTTTTTGAAACCCAAAAGTAATTTCTCTAAACGAGGTCCAATCGTCTTAAAAGCCTTTTCATACGAGCCTCAAAGTATTTTTTGCTTGTTTTCATCTTTGGTGATTGCTTTGTATGATTAGGCCTTCCACATGTCGATTTTTTTCAAGTTTGATTTCTATAAATTAGAATCAAACTCACAGAGTGCTCCGAAAAAATTGAAGCCAACGTGAGTGTGACCAATTTTTAAGTACAATATATGCATCTCGTGCCCTTGATTTTTATTATATATGCGGCATTCAACTATTAAACTCACACCACCGCAATACAACCATATAAGAAGTCCTTAAGATTGTTTGGGACAATAAGGCATGGACTCCAACGGTCTGTAAAAACACAATATGCAGGTAGTTTGTGAAGGAAACTACAACGAATTTTATCACCAATTTTAAAGAGAGCAACATTTAAGCTACAATAACCCAGAATCTGATATATTTTCCACAGGATGAAAACCCTCTACGAAAACAGATACAAAAAAAGGACCAATCCCATCGCGGTGAGACCATCCTGTGCTCGAAAAAGACCCTCCAAAACTGGAAAAGCTAAACACACTCTCAATTCTCAACAACGATTCAGAAGCCCGAATATAAAATGGTGAAAATTTATCTGAAACTATATTAAGATGTCAGCGGTATACCATGCATCACAAATCAAACTGTGTTCCCGCTTAGCAACTCCAAAAGCTCAACCTTCTTCATCTTCGAATACCCTTTTACACCTCGAGACTTTGCTAGTACCCTCAATTCTGGCAGCTTCAATGTACTCAAATCCCTACTTTCAACACGTTCTCCTTTGTTCTCATCGTCTTCAATTAGAGGTTCTTCAGGACCCAAAATCTCATCTTCTGAAGTCTCGTCCTCTAACAACTGAACAATCTCAGGCTCCGGCTCAGGTTCAGGCTCAAATTCAAACTCAGTATCATGCTCAGGCATAGGGTCAAGTTCTGCCTCCAACTCAAGCTGTGGCTCAGGCTCAGGCTCAGGCTCTGGTTGAGGAACTCTCTCAACATGATTCTTCTTTATTTTCCCAGTTGAATTCACATGTGGCACCGAGTGGCCTGTGTGATCATCCTCAGAATAAATGGCCTGGTATGTTAACCGAGGAATGGGAGACTTGCGTTGGAAATTCGAAGCAGGCCTGCTGAAGGAGGCAGTAGGTTCTTCAACATCATCCTTCAAAAGGTTATTTGAATCAAAAGGAGCTTTGTTATTTGAATCAAAAGAAGCTGTGTTTTTTCTTTCACCATATCGGGCATTCTTTTCCGGTTGGTCCAACGTGAAGTCCTTGTTGCTGCTGCCACTGTTGCTGTTTCTCTTTGATTGCTCAACCGAGTGCTTTCTTAACAGGTTGAGGAGGGAATCCACAGTCGCATTCTCTTTACCATGCCCTTGTGAAGCTTCAACCTTCCTTTCTTCTTTAACTGCACTTCTCTCCCGAAGTTGAGCCTGGACCTTCCGGAACAGCTCAACAATCTCTTTTTCTCTAGGTCCAGGGGATGCAGTGGCCCCAAACTTTGTGTTACTTGAAGGGGAGACCGATGGCCCATTTTTAGAAGACAGCATATCAGATTCATCAAAGTTATCAAAGCCATCTCTTTCTTCACTTTTCCTATTCCTGCTCCGGGAGTACCCATGTCTGTTTTGCCTTGGAAACTCTGGATTTCTATTACGACCACCAGAACTCGCTCTGCACGTAAAGGATACCCCCTTGTAAGCACCTTTTGGTGATCCATAACTGACCTGTGACTTGGACTTATGGTTGAAACTTGAAGAGCAGGGATATAAAGGGGCTACTCTTCCGGAAATTCCAGAACACGGAAGACATTTGGCATCTGATGGTCCATGACCTGGAATAAAACCATCATCACCAAAAATCACAAGGCAATAAACCTAATCGTAAAAATGAAAGCTCCGAGCAACATCCACAACCCCAATTCACCTTCTCGTGCTCGAAAATATTTTTCATGAGAGACCACTCTTATTCTATCCCTCATGTGCAAACAATACCCCCCACGCACCGAAAAAGGTACAGATTTTGCGTTCCTCGTAACTGAACTCTTCCTTAGAATTCAAATGCAGCTAGCAGTAATCACTATAACTCCAAAGGAAATACAAGACTGAAATCAAGTAGCAATATTAAAATAAAAATTCGAGCGAACGACAGGAGAGCTAACTCTCTCTATACATACAAAATCATTTCAACAAACACCTGCTGGGAACTCTAACCAAAATGTTAAATTTTCAAAAATGAACACACAAACAAACACGAATACTTCGATTTCTAAGCAAAATATGAACGAAACCAATCAATATTACGACAACCCATATCTTAAAAATAATAAATGGAAATGGAAATAGCTTCGAAATTCCAGCCAATTGTGGAAACCCAGCAGAGTTTTCTTTGGGTTTATGAGAAGCTCACCGATGATATGAACGCCCTGTAACATTTCTGGGGAGGTGAGGGACTGAGAAGGAGAGTTTTCAGGTCAGTCGTCAATGGCGGATTTGCATTTTCTGGCGTGCTTGCTGGTGGTGTAGCTCCCTCCAAGTGTTTGTCACTTCGGCTTTGCTAAACCCTATAGCGCCATTGATAAGGGACTCGTTCGGTATTATGGCTCTGAGGTTTTGAGGCGGTTCAGTCATGGGTCGAATCGGGTCATTTGACCCGATTGTCTAGCTTTTCCATAGGCCCAGTGTTGCCTGGCCCAGTTTTATTTTCTGACTAATTTGATAAAAAGTCAATTACATATAAGGTTGCAAGTGGCCATTTACCACAGTAGTGGAAAGAAGTCAAGTCATTACATGACGTCATGGGTCTAAACGCCGTTGGTGGGGCTAATCTAAAAAAATTTATCATTTGACGAAAAAAAAAAATACGTATAAAATTAAGCCAGTTGACCAAGTCAGTGCGGATCACTTTTTAACTCAAGTTTGAACCTATCTTTTCAGAGATTAAATAGGTTAGGATAAAATATTGTCTTGCTACATCCTGAACTAATGCGCTTATGTAACAGTTCTGTTATTTTTAAGTGATTTCCATTAATGCCTCCGCCAGTTTAACCGTCAAGTTAACTTCTTTTTTTCCCTTACGTTTGCGCATATACCGGGTCTATGTGAGGCAAACTTATTAAGTGCCCAGTGAAAATAATAGCAGTTGACTTGATAATTCGACGAGGCAAAGCTCAATTTCATAACACGTTTAACAAGTTTTATGCTCGTCGCAGTGAAAATAAAGCAAAAATGGAACTTGTAGAAACACACGAAAGTATATTCCGCCGGAAGGATCAACCAACCTCATGATGCATGAAACTAAAGACATGCCAAGGAATTAAATATAGGTCCAAAAACTTGACAAAACCTTGATTTTCTTCTTTCTCTCAGGTAGTTTTTCAGAGTACAGCGCTGTTCTAAACTTCGTCAAAAGACAAATACCGTTCTAAACTCAGATTCGTTACAGGCCGCAACGTTACTGAAGTAGGAGAACCTGAACAACCACCATAAACTTACAACCATCGCATGACTCAAGAACAACTAGAAATTCCATCTTTATTTTTCTTCTTGGTACTCGAAACAAGGGGAAGAACAGAGAAAGACGAAAAATGATCCAATAAGCAATTGGGAGGAAAATAGATACAAACCAAACGAGTAGTCATTGCTTTATGAGGACATACTTCAGGCTTTGTGGTTTTTTGCCATCTCATCGACATCCAATTCAACTTCCAGAACCGGTGTATCCTTTCGCATGCTAGAACGGCTGGACAAAGAATATAACAAACACAAATATTAATCCCTACAGAACTTCTTGTCGTATAAAACAAAGATGAGTTAAGCAGATTTAGATTTAGTTTTGAGTAACTCGCCTGTTCTGCACGGGGCCATGATCCACAGCTGTTCGTAAACAATATATGACTCTGCCAACTATGTCTGTCATGGAAACTGGCCCAAACTTTCGACTGTCATTGGCTTCCTGCCAGATATAAGAATGAATATTTATCCATCTGTGCCCATTCAATTCAAGTAATGCCATATGGATAATGTCATAATTCACCCTAATTGCATGCATATGTCCAAGCTAAAACATGTCATAATGCTGAATTGTCAATTTAGTCCAAAATCTAAACACGAGGAGGGAGGGGAGAGATAATCCTGAATATCTCCTCAAATAAAGGGATGTTGCTCGAGTACAGCTCATGGAAGATTACGCTTAAATATTTGATAGATGTTACAACAAATAGATGGCAATCAACACATTCTACTAAGCGTTACATGCTGATGTAATGATGACAATATACTCAGCCCCTGTGTTATAGCTATTTCCAAATACTAAAACATAAAAGAAAACTGTGGATGGACTCATACAAGAATTGTGCAGACTGTGCAGTAATCGAGCAAATATACTTATCAAAATTCTGAATATGGCATGTACCTTGGGTTTCAAACTTTCATTATCAGCCAACACCCAGCATTCATCCTTATCAAGGACAAAAGGCTCATCTTTTTCATCGGTGGACAGCATTTCATACCCTTCAATTGCAGCCAATCTTCTCACCAGGTAATTATCGGGTTTCTCAGGGTCCTTCAAGACAACTACATCCCCAACAAAAACACGCCTGTCAGATATACACAAGGATGTCAATTGAGCTGTAAGGAAACCATAAATTCACATACATCAATATGAAAAAGAAAATGAAATTGCTACACATAGAGGTATTAATATCTGAATTAACAGGTAATGATCAAAGCAGGACTCAGCTTGGGAACATCTTTAGAAGAATGACAGGCAGTACACAGTGTCACAGCATGATTAAGCACCAGAAAGTTTATCATTAAAACCATGTGAGAATTTAGAGCGCAAGTTGAATAAAAGTTTACCTTACAGGCTAAGGGTCTGCTTTAACAGTATAGAGAGACTCAATACAAGCGACTGAGCCAAGAGCTCATATGCACAAACTTCAACTTGCTATCTATCCATGCACAGAGATAACACAGGCAACCAAAGTGGTTCGCAGTCAATTTATGACTAATTGAAGCCTTTCCTAAACTGCACCTAAGTCCTAAACTGAAAAACTATAAATCTTAAAGAAAAGTGCCCTAACTACTCATCATCACAAGAGTAAACTAGATTTAATTTACTATCCACAAGGTGCTGAAGGCATTTATGATATCACAGTTCCTCACATGAAACACACAAGTCTCTCATATGAAGTTGATCTGGGGCCAACAACATAACAACAACTGGTTCGTTCTTTTAGATGCACGATCTTAGATTATTAGATAAAATACTTAAACTGGTCCTGAGAGCATCTTTCGGAAGAATGATATTTATATTCAAGCACAAAAAATAATAGAACAAGGGAATCAAACTCGCAAAAAGAAGAGAGGACGTATTTAAATTGGTAATTACTTTGGATCTGCAGCTGGTATCTTCCGGACAAGAAGAGTTCCACTTTGCGCGCCTATACTAGGGGCCATCTCCTCTCCCTTATTCCAATGCAAGTACGTCAGCCTTCCCTGAAATAGATTTTTCCAAACGGCATCACCTAGCTCCTTGTCCGTGATTTGACCTCTTTGATAGCTCTGCTATACATGAAAACTTTTGTCATAAAAACGTACAAGAAAAATATAAAACAAAAGGCATTTATAAAGCTTTCACAGCTTAACTATAACCATGTGCAAAATGGAAGTAAGAAAACTGTCTTTAAAATTACAGAAGACCAGAAGTAAATTAAGCGTTATTTGACCATCTAAACCATCTGACAAGCCAAATACTAATAACAAAAGGATCACCCACATTACATATCTTGCTCACCCCAAGTTACATGTGAAAAACTATGAGGGAGATAACTGGCTCCGCGGTTTCACAATTGATCTTGAACATTTAAGAAATGCGCATCAAAAGCTTTTTCTTTTGACAATGCGATATTCTAATAAACTACTCTAATCTTCAGGGAGGGGGCAGGGACACTGCCATGGCCAACTGGCCTAACCCAAAACAACTATAAATCTAACTTTACCAAAAGCAGTGAACATTACTGAATATTTCTCCATAGTATTTGTCAATCTTTTCAAATACCTTCGGATAGGCCAAAAGTAACAGTTTTGAAGCTAAACTAAGCATTTAAATGCACCTTCAACATACACACAATATTTCTCTGTTAACACCCGAAATCATACACAATATCTATTCCAAAAAAAACATCACTGTAATTGAGAACACAAAACATTGAGAAAACCCATGAAAGCCCTTATTCAGAACACCATTTTAACACAAAATCACAAAACTACCAAAACAATATCGTTCTCAAAAAACCCAATACAACCCATCCACCATTACCCAAAATCTAAAAACCCCAATATTTGCTTTAACCTTCCATGGCAGCAATCTTACAACGGACAATCTTAAAACGGTCTAAAAACAAAACCCAGAAGGTTAAACATCGAAAATTGGAAGAGAGAGAGAGAGAGAGAAGGACCTTCCAGCTGAGCGTGGCAGAGTACTCAAGCTTGTGGGCTATGTACCGGAACCAGGTGGAGAGGGAAACCATCGCAGAGAGACGACCGCCAGCAGTTTCGAGTTGTTGTTGCACGAGATATATGCGTCGTCAAGCCGTTGTAGCTTTGGGCATTTCCCCCTTCGCCTTCCCCTTTTTCTTAAACCCCCAGAATTAAAAATAAAATAAAAAACTGATCTTTTTTGGTATTGGGAAATTTTGTTTCGTGGGCTCTCGCCAATCGCAAGTTCGCAGCTTTAACGATGATGGATTGACATTGGTGTTCAATCCAATGATAATTAAATGAACGTATATTAAACGACATGCCGTTTCAACTCATATGGTGGTTGCCTCTTCATTTAGGGCTGGTTTGGTATTGTTGTGCTTTGAAAAAAAGCTGCTTCTGCTGTGCTGTGAGAATAAGCAGCTGTGAAATAAAGCAGCGAAGTGTTTGGTAAACTTTTTTGTAAAAGTGCTTTTGAAAAAAAAAAAAACAGTATTATAGTATTTGGTAAACTTTTATGTAAAACAGATGTGAAAAAAAGCCAGTTTTTCAAAGCTGGGTTTTGTAGCTTCTTGTTTTTGGCTTTTTTTAACCCAAAACTGTGAAAAAAAGTTGAAGCTGAATGTTTACCAAACACAAAAATAGCTGCTAACTTTTTTTGATACCAGCTTTTTTCAGAATCACCTCAGTACCAAACCAGGCCTTAGGGTTTCTTAACTCTTTCACAAAATTAAGATTGCAACCAATGCGTTGTCTTCAAAGGAGGCGTTGAGGGGAGCGAAGATATAGTCGCACGTGCCCCCAAATTTGAAGGGATCTCGAAAATTTTTATCATTTAATGTTATGTAATAATGTTTTATATTAAAAATTTTTACTTTTATTAGCACTTTAAAATCTCATTGTGCATCTTTTATAAGAGTAATTGTTTTCCCTTATAAATATAAAAATTTGGAGTACAATGAGGTATTTTGTGTGCCAATAACAACACTCTAAAAACGATTTTTTTTTTCAATTTAATAATGTTATATGTTTAAGTGAAACTTCAAAGTTAAGAGTTTTGAAGTTTTTCTTTTCATGCTTGGTTGTTTAAGAATTAACTGCTTTTGATTACTTGGTGAATGTTATGTTTGTAACTCTTTTTATTGATGATTAATGACATTTGTAAACTTTCAATTGCTAAAATTTGTTTTGATTTAAGTGATTGTTTTCTAGTATCAATAGATTGTTTTTTTTTTCTTTAAAAAAAAAACTATCTTAAGGAGGTTACCACTCAGTACTACGGTTTAGTAGTATTCATCTTTAATTGTAAGTGAGAGGTCTTAGGTTCGATTCTCGCTAAAGGTGAATTTGAACCATATTATTGCTAGCCCATGGTGAGACTAAGCTCACCTCCTTCCCAATAGTGCAAATAATATCATTTGCTAAAAAAAAAATCTTAAGGAGGGGCACCTTTACAAATTTTGCACGGGCCCTCCAAAATCTCAAAGACAACCTTGATTGTCTTAATGACTTTATCGATTTGATGAATGTTTATTATGTGTCAAAATAGGGAATCAATTAATCAATATATGCTTGTTATATGGTGTGCTTAGTTAAATAATATTCTAGTATAACGAGAATTTAAGTTAAAATACGTAACAAAGAACAATACCACTGCATTATAACATTATTAGTTAAAGATTTTTACTTCTCACACATATTTTAAATTTTTTATTATCAAATCGAATAAATTAAAAAAAACTAATGATAAAAAATTGATAAAAATGCGTAAGAGGTAAAAATTAGTACGTTAATAACACTTTCCTTTAGTAAAATTAGGCAAGAAAGCTAGAAAGGGACCAAAACACAAATAATCTTACCTTTGATTTACAAAAATACCAAAAACCAACCAAAAAATTGGACCTATTAAAAATCCAAAACGGCAACGTCGATTAGCGTTTTAATGCAGCGAAGTGGAAAATGTCAATACGCCCTTCGATCATGGTCGGGTCCCTGGTTAGTTCCACCACTTCAGCAAAACTCCCCTTCTCCCGCCAATTCCCCTCCTCCTCCGACTTTCAATTTCCCTCCATTTTCCCAGGAAAATCGCACTTCGTTTTCCTGGAAAATATCAAGCTTCTGTAAATTTTCTCCCTCTGCTACTAAGCACTGAAGCCCTAGCTTCAATTTTCAGAATCGCCCTAAATCTCCACTTTTTCCCAAACCCTAGTTTTGCTTCGACCGGCCATGCCGTCCCTGGTCTCTCAGGGCAAAATCCTCCGCCTGGAGCTCGAGAACTTCAAGTCCTATAAGGGCTTCCAGACCATCGGCCCCTTCTACGACTTCACGGCGATTATTGGGCCCAATGGCGCTGGAAAGTCCAACCTCATGGACGCCATAAGCTTCGTCCTCGGCGTGCGGACGGGCCACCTCCGTGGGGCCCAGCTGAAGGACCTGATCTATGCCTTCGACGACAAGGAGAAGGACCAGAAGGGCCGCAGGGCCTTTGTCCGCTTGGTTTACCAGCTGGACAATGGGTCGGAGCTCCAGTTCACCCGAGCCATTACCGGCGGAGCGGGCAGCGAGTACCGCATCGATGGGGCGTCTGTGACGTGGGAAGAGTACAATGCGAAGCTCAGGTCTCTTGGGATTCTTGTCAAGGCGCGGAATTTCCTCGTCTTTCAGGTTAATTTAAAAGACCAAATGCTTTCGAATTTCACAGTTCCTGATATGTAATGTGAGCTTAGGGTACTTCATTTCTCTGTTCGATTTACATTTTTTTATCAATCATCTTGCCAGAGGTCTTGCTGATGTTTGGCAGCTGAAAATTTGGAGTTGAATAAGGGAGAGATTTTTAGTATTGGGTATTCAAGCCGGTAGTCCACATGTCATAATACAAGCAGAGAAAATGATATATTTTTACGTGTCCCTCCGCTTATTTTGTGACACGAGGAGTGCCCACTTGAATACCGGGCACTTGAAAAAATTTCTTTGAATAAGGAGGGAAAGGAAATGGAAATATATCTATTTATTTTCAAATGCATATGACTTCTCAGAAACTATTGAAATGTATGCGACTCCATGTAGACTTCAATTTTGAAATTGTAATTAGGATTTCATTTCCCTGTATAGTTTCCAACTTTCCGTCACTGTACATTTATCGTTGAGTCGTATGTAGTGGCCGAGTTAGTACCGTGGGTTTCATCTTATTTGCATTGGAGAGTATATTCATTCTAGGCCAAAGGGGGAAAATGAGTAGTCATAGTCATAAAAGGGAAAAAAATGAGTGGTCATAGGAGTGTCGAGCCATTACCTAACGGGTATCTAACTGTTATAGGAAGTTTATAAGCATGCTAAACAGTGCCTTGTTCACTAGTTTTCAAATACTGTTAAGATATATTGGAGCTCTTACGGTGGTTCTGATATGTGCATAGGAAGTTAGGGGTGACTTCTAACTACCTTTTATCTTTTTATTTTAGGGTGATGTGGAGTCCATTGCCTCCAAAAATCCCAAGGAACTCACTGCACTTCTTGAGCAGATATCTGGGTCTGATGAACTCAAGAGAGACTATGAAAAATATGAAGAAGAAAAATCCGAAGCTGAACAAAAAGCAAGTCTTGTTTATCAGAGAAAGAGAACAATAGTATTGGAGAGGAGGCAAAAGAAAGAACAAAAAGAAGAAGCTGAGAAACACCTCCGCCTGCAAGATCAACTGGTGCGCATCTCAAAGTTTCTTTGCTGGTTTCATACACGTGCACATGTGCTGCGGCTGCATTTGCATATACATGCATGAATACATGGGTTACATTTACATATGTCTACATTCACGGATGTATATGCATGTTTTGCCTTAATACCTTATCTGTTTTAGCTGCAGAATTGCAGTTAGTTGTCCTTGAAAATGTTTAAGTTTTATAATTATTTGGATTCTCACAAACTGAATGCTTAATATTTCTAGCTTGCTATCCCTTAACCAAACACACACACACAAGGGAAGAATAGTACAAAGACAAATTGAATGCTTAATATTTCTACCTTGCCATCCCTTAAACAAACACACACACACAAAGGGAAGAATAGTACAAAGACAAACTGAACGCAGAGGTAGGCTGAAATTTCATACCCTTAGGGGATTATGTAATTCAGGAAAGAGCATATCAAATGGGCCTTGCAAAGACTTGGTTCTTCCTTTCTTTCTCGCTCAAACACACATACACAATCACTCACTTGCCCACTCACTCACACACACAGACTATCCGTCTTGTGTCCACATGGTGGTATTGTGTGTGGGCATACACAAGACTTGAGTGTAGGCTAGGTGGGGAATTCCTTAATATGTCAAACTTTTCTCCATGCTAAATTTTGCTTTTGAAGTTTGTTATTTGTACAAGTTTAATAGCTTTAAGTGTTTTCCATTGAATGTTCTGACTCATAGTTTCTAACAGTTGTAATATGCTGATTGTATGATTAAATATTTGACTTGCAGAAATCTTTGAAGAAAGAACATTCTTTATGGCAATTGTTCAACATAGAAAATGATATTGCAAAAATGACTGAGGAGCTTGAAGCTGAAAAGAAAAGCCGTGAGCAAGTTATGCAAGAAATTGATGAGTTTCAGCTAGAAGCAAACAATAAGAAGAAAGAACAAGCAAAATATCTGAAAGAGATTGCACAATGTGAAAAGAAGATTTCAGATAGAAATAATAAACTTGACAAAAGTGTGAGTTTCCTTGGCTTCAACAGGACATAGAAAATTCACTTGAGATCCGTGTTAATGAAAATGAGTTTATTTTGAGCTGAAGAGGAAAAAATTATTGGTCATCTAATATTGTTTTTTCTGTTTGCAGCAACCAGACCTTCTGAAACTGAAAGAGGAAATGTCTCGTATAAATGCAAAAATCAAGAAAAGTGAGAAGGAGCTCGCTAAGAAAGAACAAGAAAGGAAAAGACATAAGGAGGATATAAAGCAGCTCCAGAAGGGCATACATGATCTGACTGCAAAACTAGAAGATTTACATGAAAAAGGCCGAGATAGTGGCGACAAACTGAAGTTAGATGATACTGAATTAAGGGAATATTTTCGAATGCAAGTGTTTGTCAATCCTGCTTTATATGGTTAATATATCTGATTCTGATGGTAGTCTGGCTCTTTACTCTTATTCAACTAAAATATAGTTTCCTGGGGCCAAATACAATGTTTTATTTATTTAATTTTTTTTTTTCAAGTTTAAGCTGAGGAATGAACTTGTTGCCCTGCTTACCCTTTTCTTTTTGGACTTGTTTAGTTACATTCATT